ATGGGCTGAATTGCACAAAACGCATGATCGCACCGGCTAGTCTGGTGCGCGTTGCCATTTATTGGTAATGGCACTGTTTTTTTTTTTTGAAAGATGCTTCTAAAAGAATTGGGAGCAGACACCACTACTATTAGAAATTATTACAGTGACTCCTAAACATACCCGAAAAACTCATCACTGTAGATGTTTCAGTTGCGGGTACACGTCAGCATTTACGTGTTCGTACGTGAGTGGCAACGTGAGAGATTTCTTTGCGTCGCTCAAGCATGGTCCTGGACAGCGTTCACAAAGTTTCAACAATCCAGCTGTTCTGGCTGCGGAATTACGTCAAATTTCGTGTGCTCGTACGTGTGTACGTGAGGTGTACAAAAGATACGAAAGGGAAAGTTCCGGTTTTCTAGCTGCTTCAGTTCTGAAGTTGCAGAGGTGCCTGCGTGAAGTTTTCACGTGACCGTACGTGAGGTGCAGAAGGGCTGAAAAGCTCAATATATTTCAGGGGCACAACAGTGGATGACAGGTAACGCTGCAAAATTGCAGCTTTCTACAACTTCTTCGTCAACTTAAATTTGGAGTTGGCATGTTGTCAGTTTAGACTTTGACGTGTGCATATCTAAGAACTAGGGGTGCATGAAGGCCGAATTTGAAATCTTTGGATTAAACGCGGCCAGGGAACAACTCTATGGGGTTCCAGCCTCCTAAGTTGCGCCGTTCCCAAAAACGCTTCCCCGCGGAAAAAATTTCACGTGCTCGTACGTGAGAACCACGTGGACCTGAGCACCCATTTTGAGAATATAAGCCTGCACGCATGTTTAGATTAAGTTACCAAAGTTTCAGCTTTGTAGCTTTTGTGGATCTCGAGATGAAAATACGTTATTGATACACACCACACACACGCACGCACACACATATACACAGACAACTCTTCGACAATGTGCGTTTTTGCATTGCATAGATGCAAAAACGCATAAAAAACCGCTATGATGATGTTAGACAATCTGAACGTCACAGGCAGGAACAATCACTCTATCCAAGATTTGCAAAACTGAAACCAGTTCAAGTTCGAAATTCAATCGTTTGTCTTTCTGAGTGTTTACGGTGCACGATCTCTAAACCTCAAGAGACGAGGAGCTGAAGTTGACTGAACAGCAGGGATCACTCTCACTGAAACATCAAGAAGGCCTGGGGAGGGAAGGGGTCCTCATTTCTGGAAGGAAATTTTACATCCTTAGTACAAACAAGCTGCTCTTTACTATTCGAGATTCAACAGCAGAATTTTTTGTTATGCATCTCCATGTAGTCGCCTTTTACAATATATCGATACGAGTGGAAATATTTTTCACATTTGAACGGACAAAGGCAAAAACGAGAGGATAACTAATATAGTAAAGTCGTCTCTTCAAAAACAATGGACATCGTTTTTAAAGTTTCAGGCGATAATTGCTGAAATCAAAGCAGTTAGCGCATCTGAGACCGGCTGACTTCCTGAATGTCGACGCCAAACACGATAATTGACACATGTGAAGATTGGGAATAGTACTGTCCAAACAACAATTAGGTAAAGCTCATTCAAAATTGACATTAGCTACAGTTGACACTTGAGGAACCTGAAGAAATTTTTCCAACTGTAAAGTCGCAGAAAATAGAAAACTGATAATAAAAAACCGAATTTCCTTGCCATGTGTGTGCCTTTAAACTTAAATTGCGTAGGTGTTTCAAGCGTGGGCGCGGTCCAAAAGAAAAGTTGTTGGAATGAAGTACCTGAAACGCATGGTCGCGCCGGATATCTGGTGGGCATCGTCATTAAGTGCTTTCAATAATACTGCCAAAACGTTTAAAATTTTTGCTGCTCGCCGGACTTTATTGGCTACATTAACGTTTGAGCGTTCCGTTTTTCAGCGCGATTTTGACACCCACACTGAATAACTGCTGCTACAATCCGTTTGTCTTCTTTGCATATCACGTGTCTGTTATAAATTAACAGAACAAATCTGCAAATATGTTCACTGCTGAATTCATCCACACAGTGCAGCACAGGAAAGCGAAGACGATGAGCATGTCAATTTTTTAACGAAAAAGTGGCTTTGGAAAACAGAAAAGATAGCTTAAATTCTACAGGGATATTCTTTCAGCATCTATGAGTTAAAGATTTCAAATTCGGTTTCCGAACATGTTTACACCGCGCGTACAGTCGTATCAAATTTCATATATAGCACGCTTCCACTCAAAAATTAGCAAGAAAACAGTAGCTGAAATTTTGTCAGAATATTTATCGTCCATGTGGAAAATCATATATCTAAATGGAATTTTGATTTGCGTCTGCGCCAAGGATTAGGGCGCATCAAAGACACTTGTAGCGAAGTGGCAATAGCCGATCGTTTGCTTATCGGATAAGTTGCAAAGCTGTAAGTTTGCAGGGAAGTTTAGCTTGGAGGTGAAACTTCCTGCACACAGATATGATAGATGTTAAATTTTGTCGCAAGCTCAAAAGCGACTGCATTTTACTTATTTTGTAATCCTCTTCCGACTTCCTTCAAAATTGCTTTTTTTCAACAAACGATCGTTCACTGGAAAAAAGACCAGGTTTCATGCAAAAACTGATAATTGTGCACAATAGACGTTCAAGCGACTCCGTTATACAACTTTACCATCCAAATTTTTATGCAAGATAGCGCTAAAATACAGCTAACATATATCCATGTGTTAAATTGTAATGCAGGAACTAATCATGATTTTGACGGCTAAAAGCCTAACACAAAAACGGGTGATCGCACCGGGAAGTCTGATTCGTTTCAGCCTGAGATTCCATTTCCATAAATGCGCAAAAACGCATAATGAGCAAATACATTTCACAGTATTACTTGGAAGAAGTTATGAAAACTCCTTTCATTTTCCAGAGTGCTCCTATAATTAAAATTAAAAAAAAAAAACAAATTAATTAAACTTCTTTGTACCCATCTAATGAATGCGTCAAAAGCGAAGTCGCTGTGCTTGTACCAAACAAAAGCCACTTGTTGCTGAAAATATGAGGTCCGACATCATATACGATGGTGCTGGTCATATACACTAGCCCGCACACGCATGTCTGAAACAAAGAGCGACGCTTATTACAAGACGATATGGCCTTACATTTTTGCAGGAAACTGTTTAAATTGTGTTGGACGTAACCCTTTTTATGCTTTTTTGCTGTGCAGCGCTAAATCACTGCTACAGCCAGCAAAGACGCACACTGTCGAGAAGTCGTCTGTGTCTGTGTTTTCGGAAGCGAGTGAACTTTGTCATCCACTTTCATCTCAGCAACCAGGAAAGGTGGGAGGCTGAAATTTTGAGTATATGTTCCTACCCCGTGTGTCATCCTCCGTTTTAAAATTTATATTCATACATGCCTAGAGCCCTGAAAGAAATATACGGATTTCTTTAGTGGGAAACAATTTCGCGGAAAAGGCAAGGTAAAAATTTGAAACCCCGCAGGGATATTTCCTGTGCATGTGCGAGTTAACGATTTTTAATTCATCTGTTGTGGTTGCTTGTGCAACGCGTAAGATCACGTCAAGCTTTGCACCTAGCACCGTCCTAACTCAAAAATTAGCCAGAAGACAGTAACCCAAAATTTTTTAGCATGTTTATCGCTCATATGGGAAATCGTACATCTAAAATGAATGCCGATTTCTTGCGCCACGACTTAGGGCACTTCAAAAATATTTGTAGCAGAGTGGATATTTCGTTTACTAGATAAAGTGTGAGGCTGAAACTTCGCTGGGATGTTCTATTTTCATGCATAGTCTTGTTTCTATTGGTTGTGAAATTCACTGCTGGTGGTGTGAGAAATACTCATTTTTATCACAGGCTTGGAAACAAGCGCATTTTGAATCTAACGATCGCTCTCCTTCTCTTTCAACGAAGAGCGAGTATTTACCTGGAGATCCAGGCTGTCCTATAACGCAACACCTTCATCCCAACCGACGCCCTTTCTGGTGCGTGCCAGAGGAATCCAAAGCATGGCCAATATGAACCCAAGTTTTGGGCTACAGCGCAGGGATCATACCTGTTATTAGCGATTTGCTAGTTTAATGCAAAAATGCATGATTGCACCGGCATGCCTGGTGCATTCCAGCCTGGGTTTACATATAAATGTGGTGGACCAAGAGGAAATAAAACCTCTTATGTTCATATTCGAAAGTGACGTGCTAAACCACTTCGCCACCATTTATTGCCCGCTAGAAAGAACGGCCACTTTATCTACTGTGTATCTGTCTCTAAAGAATTAACTGTAAAATACATAATTTAAACACAATGAATCGAAAGCAAGGAAGAAGTGCTGTTCCAATCGGAAAACGGCGCACTTTCCTGAACGTAGTCGAAACAACTGCCCTGCAAATGCGTGGGAAAGTCTAGTGAATATTGCAAAATTTCTGGGAGCGTTTCTAAAATATGAGAAAAAAGATCAAATTTTTCAACGTTCATTTGCCGTTGCCAAAAATCTGACAAATACCTGTTCAAGAAAGGTTATTTCGCTTTTTCGAATTCCAGAAGCGAGCGAAACCATCGTCTAAAATAATTGTTTCTAACTGAGATGACTTTGCAACTTATCATTTGGTCATAACTTGGCAGTACTGGGTTGTGTAAGTTAATCTGTCTCTAACAACTGTGAAATTAGTTGTAATTAATTTCAAACAAATGACAAATTTTTATACGTTTGTGCGTTGCATCAGTGATGTAATGTCAGTAATGCGAAATTCTTGGTGTGTGCATGTGTGTTTGTTGTGTATGTGTGTTTGTACATTTCCTGTTCAAATATTTCGATTACGGAACTTCAAAACCAGGGCAATAAAATTCCTCTACCGTGTTCAAGGTCTCGAAGTTGAAACCCCGATTTTAGATTGCTCAGTATCCTGGTCCATACATTAGATTCAAATTCAAGCAAATTTTGCTGCTCTAGAAGCAAAAACTAAGAGCATAAAATTTCGGAAGCAAAAGCATGCACTTTGTAAGGGTTTTTGTCAGTATGCATTTTTGCATTTCATTAATAACGCAAAACTCATTAAAACGCATTTTGACAAAAAAATCTGTATGTGTTCGAGTATCTGCTTACCCATCTGTCTGGCAGAATCTGTGGCTTGTTTTTACAGCTCAAACTTCAGTTATTTGGGGATGAGGGGACGTGGAATGAACTTTTACATTCTTTCGCAAGTTATGAAAGAGGATATGGAAGATCTGGCTTCATCATTTGGCAAAATGCCAGTACTACCATAAAATCCAGAAGTCCTAATAATTTTTACTTGCCACTGTGCTGCATATTGTCAGTCGACAACGAGGTTTTGATGGGCACTGTCAGCGCAGCAGTTTATCTTAAAAGAGCGTTGCTGGGCCAACTTTTTGCTGCGAATCAACATTTTTTGTCACTGCATTTGTCCCTTGTGTTTTTCCCAAACGAGAAGACTTTTCGGTAATACCAGTAACCTTGCAATGAATGCTCCATTCGAAAAAAATCGCTTTCGAAAAAGCAAAAAGCACTTTCGAAAAAGTTGCAGGTAAAACTGTGTTTTCTTATACTCGCCCCGATAATCAACACTTTTATGGTAAAAAGCGTTTTATGAAAAAGAAGCCTTCGTAACAAAATCCCACTGGAGGAAACTGGTCTCTATTTTTTTTAGCGCTGTACCAGTTCCTGCTCTTACACAATACAAAATTCCTGTATCTGTCTATTACAAATTTTCCGCGTACGGCTGGTTAGACAATAAGTGCAACATGAAAGTCAAAAACTCGAAATTACTCGTTATTTCGCAGGTATTTGCAAAAAGTGGAGTAAAAAAAATGAAATACTGCCAACATTCTTCAAAAACAAAAAATTTCTACACCTTCGAAAAATTCAGCGACCTGCCCCGTATCCTCTCCGGTTTATAGCCAATGGCGTGCTGTTTGATATCCATAGAGAAAGGCCTAGGCATGATCACACCTGCTTTTCACGTGCCACTGTTCATGTTACAGCTTTTAATTCTGTGGGTGCCGTTTTCATTGAATATCTGTGAACAACCAGTAGAATAATCAGCTAAAAGAGCAGGGAGATGACTAAGGTTAAAAGCTACAAAATTTCTCCTAGTTCATTCACCTTGGAGGACGGAAACATCCGGAAGCAGTCCGAATAAGAGGCATGCGCAACAACCACTTACTAAAAGGTTATGGATGAATTCTTCTTTGGTTGGCTACCTAAATAGCAGCTGTAACGTTTGCGAATTTTCTGGCATACCTCAGTATCAATTTTCACCGAAACGTATGGAGGAGGAATTGGTTTTTATGCGTTTTTTGCAGCTATGCAATGCAGAAAACGCATATTGACGAGAGGTTGTCTGTG